GCCAATGGCATCCTGGCCTGTATCAAGAATAGTGTGGCCAGCAGGACCAGGGAGGTGATAGTGCCCCTGTACTTGGCACTGGTGAGGCCGCACCTCAAGTACTGTGTTCAGTTTTGGGCCCCTCACTCCAAGAAGGACATGGAGGTGCTGGAACATGTCCAGAGGAGGGTGAAGGGTCTGGAGCACATGTCTTATGAGGAGAGGCTGAGGGAAATGGGATTGTTTAGCCTGGAGAAGAGGAGGCTGAGGGGAGACCTTATTGCTCTCTACAACTACCTGAAAAGAGGTTGTAGCGAGGAGGGGGTTGGTCTCTTCTCCCTAGTAATGAGTGACAGAACGAGAGCAAACGGCCTCAAGCTGCGCCATGGGATGTTTAGGTTAGATATTAGGAAAAACTTCTTTACCGAGAGGGTGGTCAAGCATTGGAACAGGCTGCCCAGGGAAGTGGTTGAGTCTCCATCCCTGGAGGTATTTAAAGAATGGATAGATACGGTGCTTGAAGACATGGCATAGATGGACTTGGGGAGTGCTACGTTGACGGTTGGACTCGATGATCTTAAGGGTCTTTTCCAACCTTGACGATTCTATGATTCTATGATCTCTGTGGGATCCATTTGCTTTACATTTGGTTATTCCAAAATGTATATTTTGAAAGCTTTTTTCTTCTCACCCCCACAGGAATGTGAGTTGCCCTCCTGTCCAGAAAATACAAAATTATGGACTACATCGCTTCCTCTAGTTCATATGGGGAAGGTGACCCAATGGAGATATGGATCATGGACACCAGTATGTAATATAATAGTGGTCACATCCTGCAGAGCAGTCCTCCATTCCTTCACCCATTTTTCCATAAAGTTCTCATTAATATATTTTTTCAGACTGAAATCTGCTTGGGATAGATTTTAAAGGAATTCTAAATATTTTATTTTTTTTTTTAAGAACCTGTTTCTTAAGGAGGAGATAGACGCTCCCAGCAAATTCTGTGTGCTTCATATCTAGCCAGGGAAAATAAGGAGGGGAAAAAAACAGGATTCTAGGAGCTGGGGTTCTGAGCAAAATATCTTTCATATGATTGAGAGTGTGCAAGAAAGTGTTTTTTTTAAAATAATTGATCAGTTTCTGAGTATGGAGAACATCTTTCATTCTAAAATATGATTTAAATCTTTTATGGGAATAGCAATATTAAACAGTTTGGGTCTTTAAAGGTCTAATTTTACATGATTTCTTAAATAAGCATTATAAAAAATCGTTTCTACACATTGTTTAATGGAAGAGTTTTTGATTTTGATAGTGTTGAAAATAAGTTTTACTTGACAGCAAAGTGAAAATTTAAAATTATCTATAAAAATGTGGGTGTGTCTGTTAATCCCCTGAGGTTCTTAACAAAGCATTTAACACAACTATATCTTTGCACAACTATTTTAAGTAAATAACAGTAAAGAGTGCATAGACTGAGGCTACTCAAACTCTTCACTAAATCCACCTTGAACTTCTCATCTACAAAGGCATCAGAAAAGGCTCAATGGAATATGCTAATATAAACTAGAATGGCAAATGGATTGTGAATATCAGTTTTTATTATATCAGTTGATGTAAATATTGCATCACTGTGTAATAACTAAAATGTTCTGGAAGTTACTCTTTAATGCTTCTATTGTTAATAAATAAAAAAATTCCTTTTGCAACTGTATAATGATTCCATGTTATAGTTGAAATGCTGCCTGTTCAGATATGCTGAATTGCTTCACAAGAAGTAAGGCCGTGCAATTCAGGTCGAAGCCAATGAGAATTCTTAAGGCCTAAACCATCCAGAAATATTTCACTTTCCTTCCTGAATGCATGGCTCTATCAGTGTGAGATGGAAATCTGGTTCTCAGTGTTTAATTCTAAAGTCAAGCTGATACTAAGCTATGTTAGTATTTTACATGCTTGCATGATCTTGTTTTGGTCTCCTAAAGTGCGATGAGCTTGGGTTGTTCTCTGACAGTGCTCTGCATCCTGTGGGAAGGGTGATCGTGCTCGCTATGTGAGTTGTAGAGATGCTTACGGAGGAATAGCAGATGAATCTTTCTGTGCTCATTTACCACGACCAGCTGAAATTTCAAGCTGCTTTAGCCCATGTGGAGAGTGGCAAGTTGGAAATTGGTCCCCTGTAAGTATTAATTGTAATTTTTTTTTAAACTTGTCTATTTAGATCATTGGCCAAAGTCTCTGGTTAGAAATTGGGACTTCATATTCTGTGCAAGTGTGATTGAAATTGCATCCCTTGAAAAAATGAAGTATACTTTTCTTATTCTCAAAAGTAAAGATAAATGTCTTTGGTTATTAATTATCAATGTTCTGTCACAAATGTTGGGTTAATTTTTGGTCAGTGCACAGTCACATGTGATAGTGGAATAGTAACAAGACAAGTTATCTGTGTCAACTATCATCAACAAATCAACGAGAATTACTGTGATCCTGAAGGCCGACCTTCCAAAGAACAAGAATGTAACATGCCACCATGTCCATCAGTATATCATCATATTCCGAAAATACATGACCATCCAAGCCGCTTTCCAGAAATAGGTTACCTTCCAGTGCATCATCCACAAGACAATATAAACCAGTGGAACCATCCCTCTGTGGGAGGATATCAGTGGAGAACTGGACCCTGGGGAGCAGTAAGAATTTCTCTTTAATATATTAATTTGTTCTCTCACACGTGTATTAACATTTCTAGAAACGTTCTTGAGGTACAGATTTGGTCAAAAGAGAAGCACATTTATTTTAAAAATATTGTTGTTGTTGTTGTGGTTATTATTATATTAAATTAAAAATTATTTTTTCTGTGATTTCAACTTCAAAATACTTCTACATAGTAGTAATTTTTATTTGCAAATTTCAGTTTTGAAAGTTAACATTAAAAAATAATAATTTTAAGTTGTTTTAACCAACATATTTTTATGTTTTTCTGATTATGCAATGGTGATACATATGTTTACATGTTTTGGTAGTGCTCTAGTACTTGTGCAGGTGGATTTCACCGTCGAGTTGTAGTATGTCAAGATGAGGAAGGAAGAAGTGCTAGCTATTGTGATGAGGCAACAAAACCTCCGGAGTCAAGACACTGTGATTCTGGACCCTGCCCACGATGGAACTATGGGAACTGGGGAGAAGTAAGATCATTTCACTTTCAAAGGGAAACATTGTTTACCACATAAGCTTAGAAATAGTAACATAATTATTTGACTGTGAATGGAACTGAACATAATTTTTTTACTTCTTTAAAAAGAATGAGTTTCAACCTGTTTATCTAAACTTCGAATTTTGGTCAAATCCAGAACTGTAGTGTAAATAGGAGTAGTGTAAATGTACATCCAAAAGAAGCAAGTGTTGTGTGAGGCTAAGGATGTACAATGTATAATTGAGCATTGCAGTAGTGTCTTGAATCTTGAGACATACAAAATTATTTTCTGTTACAAAAAGTTGAATTGTATGCAGAAAAATCTCAGTGTACTAGCTAGTCTAAAAAAAATGAGCATAAGAAGCTGTAAAGAAACTTTATTATGTCAAATTTCATAGGTACTGACTAGAATAACTGCAAGTAGTGGTATCAACTGGGTTGTAGTTGCAAATTAGAAGTATGAAGATAGGATCATGCATCTAAAAGATGTGCCTGGGTTAGAATGTTTTGATGAAACATTATACATTATTGGACAAAGAATGGTTTCTCCATGCCATGTAATGTCATATCTTGACCATGCATTCTTGCTCAAACACTACAGAAAGAGTTAAAGCTGGTTAGTTTGGCAATAATTCTAATCTAACCTCTTGTGATGCCTGCTTTCTTTTCTTATTCTTGATACATCAATATCTAGAGTTGGGAAAAGAAGAAAAATTGTTTGAGTGACTTCTTTTTTTTTCTTTTTTTTCCCCTCATTTTGGCCAGATCTAACCATTTAGTTCTCAAGGCCAGTCTGAGTGTCATGTTTTTTCTGTCCATAGCTGCAGACTTGGGATCCAGTTAATGCAGATGCTGCAGTTTTTGTCTAATTTAGAATCCTCTGAAATACAGTAAAAAGCTACAAACTATTGGAACATGCTCACTTTTGATCAGGTTGTTTTTAATAGCTCATTAGAAATGAAAATTAATATTTTTGTCTGGTATTGCAGAATTACAGGAAAACTGAAACCCAGAAAACACATCCTATAAGTATTTTACACTTAATCTATATAAGTTAAACTATGAGAAAGTGTGCCCAGTGTCTGAGTTTTCTCTTTTCTGGCAGGGAAAACTAGTTTTAGTACCTATTTCCATCTTTTCCTCCAATTAAAGAGAGATATGTATGCACATTTATTCTCACAAATGGTTACTTCTCCTTGATAGAGTAAATTCCCTGTAACAGACTTTTTGTAGAAAATCACTTGATAAACTATAAAAATGTAGTTTGGTAAACGTTTTAGTGGGAGAATTGTTATTTCATTATATGAGATTAGGCTAAGTCCTTATTCTTGAACTGGGTGTTCAGAGAATATGAAATAGACATAATAAATAATAACATGTACTGATTATTGCTATATCTTTTTGGTTTAAGAGTATGTGATGACTCTCTTAACAATAATATTGCATATAAAATTCTGTATTTCAGTGTACTCAAACTTGTGGAGATGGAATAAAGACAAGACTGGTGATTTGTCAGCTTCCTACTGGCCAAACGTTGGGTGATCAAAACTGTGAAATTCTAGACAAGCCACCTAATATGGCACAATGTAATGTGCATTCTTGCCCTGGTGATGTTTCATGGCATCGGGGACCGTGGAAATCGGTACGATAGCATTCACTAATACTTTTCGCTTTCTTGTTCTTTCTGTCACTCTATTTCCCCTCGCCTTTTAAAAATTATATTATTGTTTTATTTGATAACAGTGACATAATAATGCATGTGGAATATAGTCTATGTAGTTTTATTAAGCAATTGTTCCTGCAGTCATTGGATTAAATGGGAAACAGCCATTTACTTCAGTGGGAACAGTATCATGCTCTGTAAAACATCACAGAGAATCTTTGAAAATTACCAGAAATCAGCATAGCCAATAGCGATACCTAATAGGTAGTTCAATTTTGAAGGATTATGATTTGATCTGTGTTTAAATTTAAAAGTATATGCTGTAATTTATACTGTAGTATCATCTACATATTTATATTTGTAAAAAAAAAAAAACTTTTTAATGCATAACTTTTTTCTAATAGTATATTTAAGTATAAAATAACTCACACACATGTATATTACACTCTGTCATCAAACATTTTACTCCGTATTACGTGTACATTTGTGTATAAAAGTTTATATTTGTGGTTTTAAAACAGTGACTAATTAAAGCTGTCTATGTATAATTATGTATGTAACTATAATATGTTATTGTCTACATGTCACTGTCTATTAATGTGTAAAAATGCCTACAGTAATCACCATTAATCTTTAAAATTGCCACTAGCAGATTATTAACACACGGAAGTAACCATAGCAAGCTCTACAATATAGAGTACATTATTTTTCCCAAGCTGTGAATTTAACAACAATATTTATTATTGTGCTCAATTCTAAGGAGAATAATGGCAATCAAAGGAGGTTGGATCCAGTTCTGGTTCCATCAAAATCAGTTAAAAACCTGTCATTAACATCGCTGGGAGATGGACTAGGACAACAGTTCTGGGCTTTTTTGTTGGTGTGTTTTTTTTGTTTTTTTGGGTTTTTTTAAGTTAATAAAATTACGTAATTTGGTTATTTGAATTAACATGGAAACGTTTTTAAAAATATTGTCCAATTTCAACTTTAAATAATTCGTTAGTGTTTATATAATCTATTCTAATTTATTGCAAATAGACTTTAATATGAAAGTTTTAATTAATAATTTACCACAGTTATCTCTTTCTTCCACTGTGCAAAACAGCTTTTTGGGTTTGTGTTTAACAGACACCAGAGTATCTTATTTAGTCATTAGCCAAATAATTGCTAATGCTTAATTAACATATGTACTTCAGGTGCTGAGAAGACAAGCAGGGCTTTCAGCACGTAGTTGCCTTTGAACTCATGTTTGTTTTCCTTTTAGATCAAAAGTTATTCACAGCCTGTTCATTCCCTGAATGATGCAGTTTGTCCTGCATTAATAGGTTACCTGTAATCTATTGTAATGTATCGTAAACGTTACATATGCCTTAGTTTTGTAAAGATTTTCATGTTGGTTTATATCTCAATTGACATTAAAAGCCATTTTAATCCTTCAAAGCCTAAGTTTAGAATGGAAGCTAGTTATCAGAGAGAGAGTTTGTGGCCTCCGTTTTATATATGATTGCAAGTTCTATGGTTATTCAGTAATAGTTTTAATTTCATCACACTGTCACATGGTGTTGTGCAGAAACAAATGTAGCAGATTCAGGAAATAAAAGCAGGCTCACATATTAAATATGCTGTCACTTTTTAGTAATTTAACTAGTTTGAACACCGCCAACACACAAACTTCAGTTAATTTTCGTTGCTGTTTAAACAGCAAAATTTATTCATTGAGGACAACTACTATGAAAGAGCAGTAAAAGCTTTAGTCACAGAAGCACTGTTGTAGCCTACCACAAATGGCTTTGTTTAGCCTTCACCTATGGGTGGTTGACTAGTGATGTTACAGTTTGGCAATAGATCATGGCTCTGCCTATCTTATGCCTTTCTGGCATGCAATATGCTCTAATACAGAAGACATCAAGCATGTCAGATCTACACTTACTGCCTTTTCTATAAAGACAGCAAGAACCAAACACTGTGTTTTTGGTAAAAGTATTGAGTAATATTTATGTGTCATTCTCTACTTCCCATTGGGAGGCATGAGTTCAGCCGTCTCCAGGAAAGCAGGGCTCTATCACGCGTAACAGTTTCTTGGGAATACAAATGCTGCCACTCCAAACGTCCCCTGCTTCCTTCTTCTCCCAGCTTTATAGGCTCAGCATGACATCATATGTTACGGAATATCCCTTTTGTCAGTTGGGGTCAGCTGTCCCAGCTGTGTCCCCTCCCCGCTTCTTGTGCACCCCCAGCCCACTCGCTGGTGGGGTGGGGTGAGAAGCAGAAAAGGCCTTGACTCTGTGTAAGCACTGCTCAGCAATAATGAAAACATCTCTGCATTATCAACGCTGTTTTCAGCACAAATCCAAAATGTAGTCCCATACTCACTACTATGAAGAAAATTAACTCTATCCCAGCCAAAACCAGCAGAACCTGGAACAACTTCTTGACCTCCTTGAGTATTGGCCCTGTCTCTGGCCCAGTCAGTTCAGAAATGGGTATGAAAATTGCTTAAAAAACCTCTTTCTCATTCTGATGTAGCTTTGTCTAAACCATGTCTGAACTAAAAGCTTCACTCACAGATTATTCCAGCTTTTACATAGCCAGATAATTTCCTCTTGGATTTTAGATTCCAGCAGAAATAGGTTCAGAAAAAGTCAAATTAGCTAAGACCAATTCAGAATCCTGAGTCAAGAACCTGATGCACCATGTAGAAGGATTGTTCTAGTTTATCAGTTGTCAGTGTCTTTTATGCTCTCTTCCATATTGGGGCATTCTAACTTCTTCCACTAGCTATCACTATATATTTGTGGATAGAAGACTTCTAGCAATATGCCTTGTAACTACAGTTCTTTCAGTTTTTGATTCATTTTACACAACGTAACTAAAATAAAACATATCTTGTAAATGCACAATAGGGCAGTTGCAAGGAAGGCTCTGTTTATGATTTGAAACCAGAATTCTGGTTGATGCTTTCTGCAGTTCAGCAGCTATGGGCTGTTATACTTTAATAGTGTCTGTGGCTACCGGAGCTGACCATTACAAAGCTTAAAGGTTATGTACTCCTCTGTTGCCAGTTTCTGCAGTTTTCCAAAGGGATGTGAGGCAAGTAAATCTCAAATTCTAAAGACTCATAACACTCCAGGACACTTTCTCAGAAATATTATGCATATTCAGAAACTTTGATTCTTTGAATCTTTGAAACTTTAATTCAGTCCAGAATTTTCATATCATGATATCCAAGCCAAAAAGATGCTCTGAAGTTTTACAGGGAGGATGGCTAGGAAACACATCCTTTTGCCTGTAACTTGAATTCGTTTGACCTGGAGGTCACTGAGAGACTCTGACAATGATCTTTTTAGCATGTACCTTCCGTCTTCTGCCTGCTTAGTTTTGTGCAAGTTTCTAAGGGAATTTTCTTTAGTGAGAACTGAATCATGCTCATTTTCCCCGACCCCCCCACCTTTGTATCAAAACCCAAAGGAAATGGAGTGGGTTTACACCCAGCCCATGCATCTTGAGGGATTCTGCGTTGTTTTGAAAGAATATTGGCGTCAATTCTTAATGTAAATGAGGTTGATAAATATTATACAAACATTCCTAAATTCAGGTGTTTCAAAATTTTAAACATTTGATTTCAAGATTTCATTGCCTAATTGGCATGTATGTAAGTACACTACCTCTTCTTTCATATACAAAAATTACAATACAGATGTATATATTTTGATATATACATATTTATAATGTATTTATAAGTTAAATAATACTTGACGCAAAAATAGCTGCTTATTTTAATGGATTTGTACCATCAGTAAATTTGGCCCATATATCTTGGATATTTTTCTTTTAGACGACTCTAGTTTCATTGGTGAAGGGATTAAGGCAATGATCCAAAACTTCATGAAAGAAAGAATAAATTACAAGCTAAAAAGTATGGAAACCATATGTCACATTATATAATGTCAAGAAAAATTCCATAGCATTCTGACAGCTGGCTAAGAGTACTTTGTTCTAGTATAGATTTTTATTGTATCCTTTTTTTTTTTCCACAGTGCATTATTGGGTTTTTGTGTTTAGTCCATGCAGTAAGGCTTCTGGCTTATTGTATTAATTTTCATCAGTGTGGTTCAGGCTTTCTGACCCTAATGACAAGAAGTCATTCTCCTGGAGAAACGGGCTTCACATGGCTTGAACAGCCGTACTTTGCTGGGTAAAGGACTGGCTGGATGGCCATGCCCAAAGAGTTGTGGTGAATGTAGTTAAATCCAGTTGGCAGCCGGTCACGAGTGGTGTTCCCCAGGGCTCAGTATTGGGGCCAGTCCAGTTTAATATCTTTATCAACAATCTGGATGAGGAGATTGAGTGCACCCTCAGCACGTTTGCAGATGACACCAAGTTGGGTGGAAGTGTTGATCTGCTGGAGGGTAGGAAAGCCCTGGACAGGCTGGATCGTTGGGCCGGGGCCAACTGTATGAGATTCAACAAGGCTAAATGCCGGGTCCTGCACTTGGGTCACAACAACCCCATGCAACGCTACAGGCTGGGGGAGGAGTGGCTGGAGAGCTGCCTGGCAGAAAAGGACCTGGGGGTGTTGATTGACAGCTGCCTGAATATGAGCCAGTGGTGTGCTCAGGTGGCCAAGAAGGCCAATAGCATCCTGGCTTGTATCAGAAATAGTGTGGCCAGTAGGACCAGGGAGGTGATAGTGCCCCTGTACTCGGCACTGGTGAGGCTGCACCTCAAATACTGTGCTCGGTTTTGGGCCCCCCACTACAAGAAAGACATTGAGGTGCTGGACCATGTCTAAAGAAGGGCAATGAAGGTGGTGAAGGGTCTGGAGCACATGTCTTATGAGGAGCGGCTGAGGGAGCTGAAGTTGTTTAGCCTGGAGAAAAGGAGGCTGAGGGGAGACCTTATTGCTCTCTACAACTACCTGAAAGGAGGCTGTAGTGAGGTGGGCATCGGTCTCTTGTCCCAAGTAACAAGCGATAGGA